GGTTCGGTGTCCGCCGCTTTTCGTTGTGATACAGAGTAGGTATGATCCTCCATTCGTCTGATGTTTGGCCACACAGAGCCAAACAGTTTGCAAAGTCACTCAAGCCTGCCGCCTTGTTCACCTTTCTTGTTACTGAGGCGCAGCATACCTGCTTCTTCTTCTTCTTTGGTTTCAGGCAGACTAAACGCTTCTCAGGCATAATACTGCCATCTACTGTTCAGTACCGTCTCAGTTCATCTCTCTCAACTTGCCGTAGTTATTTTCGAGCGTAATGGGAGATCTCGCAATCGCTAGTTTGTTGCCTCTGCGCTTGCCGTAGCGCAAAGATGTCAGCCTCCATGGCTGCGAGACCCGCTCCTATGTAATTATAAATAACGAATTCTAAGGCAACGCAAATATTATGGTTAAAAGGCTGAGCTCATAGGTGATGATAAATAACATAGTTATGTATAATATATTAAATTTCTGACTTTATATGCCTGTAATTATTACACACTGTAGCTTTAAGCATATTTACCAGTTATTATGCAGGGCCACAACATTTTTAAAACATCACAATAGGAAATGAGTAGCAACACTGATGCCAACCTAACTAAGAATATTAAATAAGTTATGAAATGTTGTCTTTGTCTTTCCATGTCTATGAAAATGATCAGTACAACCAGCACTCTTCTAATCCAGCATATTTGCAAAGAACTGTAAACCTGCTGCTTTAAGCAAAATGCATAATGTAACATATATATTCACGGTCCTGTGAGTGAAAATAAGCATATATTTCACCTTTTATGCTTATCCATGAAAAATATATATTTTAAAGATAATGCTCTACTTATTTATATTAAAACGAAATGCATAACTACAAAAGATCCCCCCTCTAGAACCATTTATCAGATTAAAAACTATACCTTTGTTGGTGCTTGTGTGTACACTTATTGATTATTGTGTACAACATACACTAGTGCGACTACATTTCAAGCTTGTGGGGGGGGTTGTTCAGAATAAATTAGCCCCTGTATATGGGCACAGTTAGATTTTTTTGTTCTAAATAAATACGTTTATGATTTTACTCTCAAAATAGCAAAAATAGGTATAAAACTGTGATTTTATACCCAAGAGACATCCCATATGATAAATGAGGAAAACACCCAGATTTCTGGGTGAATGTTTTATATTTTGTGGTTACTCACAATCAGTGGACGACCATGGATGTCTATATGAACAAACACCAACAGCCCTTCCTTCTCTTTGCCCTCTGAACCCTACGGCTCGGTTTCAGGCCCACATACTCAAGACCCACTGAGGACCAGGAGCTTGTAAACCTAAATATCGCCTCACCAAAAGAGCACCAGCAACACTACATATATCTCACTCTGCAGGCAAGAAGAGGTCCTAAAAAATCCAACCATGCTATTGCTTATTACAACAGCATTTTATTCTCCTGCAAACTGGCTCAACCTTAAATGGATCTAAGAGGAGTGGGACACAAGTAAAGTTAAGGGTGTGAGAAAAAGGGCAGTGAGGAAAAATATAGAGAGAAAACACCAGAAAGAAAAATGGACAAAACCCCCAAATAATGTGGACAGTGAGTATAACTGGAGAAATACCTAGAGCCCAGGGACAAAGAGAGAAGTATGTTTTTCATTTTCACAGCTCTGTGGGAAAGCAAAGCAGAACAAAGCACAGTGGGCATTTTCTACTTCTCTGCCTGTTAACAAACAGGCAGCCTGTAAAATATTGATACTTCAATCCCAGGAAAGAAATGTCTGAATGATTTTGGTGCTTCTGAGAAGGAAGAATTCACCTATCTATAATTGATACTGCTGAAATAAATGGGTTGAGAAACCACTGAAACTGAGGCTGGAAACTGTATGCTCTACTATGTGTATTTCTGTATTTGTCTCTGTTGCTGTCTGGGACACAAAAATTTTATCTGCAGCTTTTTACTCATAAAGTTTACCAAAGGTTTTTTTCTACTGTGTATGTTTAGCAATCACTCATTTGTGGCTGCCACAGAGATAAGAACTTGCAGGATTTAGATACTTAAGACTTCACAAGTCATTGTTTCAGGGTCTTATTTTCTGTTTTAGTTCTGCAGATATCTCGTAAATGTCAACAGCTGTCCTTGATCTGTCCACCCTTAGTCCATTATGTAGTGATTCAGCAAATTTGTGTCAGTGCATAAAATGTCCAAGGCAATTTCTTCTTTGCTTGCTGAACTGGACGTTTGCAGTAATGCAGTAAAACTTATGTGCAGAATGTACTACCCAGAGGTCCTAGTACATCCTGATCTGTGTATGCGAACAAACTCTGCTGACTTTTGTGGGTTTATTAATAAACCCAACAAGAATTGGCTTAAATTTGGAACATATCACTCAAAGTCAGAATAGTGATTCCACTTAGATCCTGAGTTACCTCAGATTTACTTTAAGGAGGTAAGAATGACTTGGATTTTAAGTGCAAATTTGAGAAATAGAAGAAGAAATATACAACAACATTAGTATGGTGATACTTTATGTCCATTATTAATATTAAATTTAAACAAATATTTTCTGTAATGAAAAATGGACATTATACAGTACAACAAATATTTGTCAAAAGATAAAGACAAAAGCCAACAGAGCAGAGCAGAGTCAAAATAATTATAGTGTTCTGCCTGGTGAACTTACTAACCCTGCTAATGCTAATGTTAGCATGCTAATTCTAACAAACACAACTAATCTAACATAAATTCATAGGAATTTCCCACACTAGAAAGCAAACTCCTCATATGACCCTATACGTCATTAGAATGTATCTTTAAAATGTAGATTTAGGGTAAGTTTTATTAATTAAAAATATTTTTTATTTATGCCCAGTATCATTTTAGATTAAGCAGTGTATAGTGGAGTATTTTGATTTTGTTGTTGTTTCATTAATGCAACACTAAAAGGGATAGTTTCGGTAATTGGACATGAACTTGCCACCGTGCCAACATGCCAGAGAAAAAAAGGTTTGTGAAATACTTATATAATGAAAGAAAAAAACATGCATGTGTTTTGTTGGACTATTTCAACAATTTTAAAACATCCCATAACTACATCAGACCTTGATAGTATTAACGACTATTTTTTGGGTGTTATCACTCTGCTGCATAGATGTAGACGACAGTTCATGTAAAAGGAAATAAACTAAGCAGCTAATCAACAGGCCAAACACCTAAAAGCTGTTTATGAAAGTAAACAATTAGACCATTATTTGTGATTTTTTATATATTTTATATATTGTTTATATATAAGAACACCTGCTCAGGTTTGTGACACTTGTTATAAGATAGTAGACAAGACCATTTTTAAAGTCAGAATTTAAGATAGAAAAAAACAACATTGACAAAGGATGAAGTAGAGAATGCTCTTAATGGTTTGTTGTTGGCTTTTTAAAAAGGAAGGTTTAATTTATCCGTAGAAGGACTGCTTTGTGGTCCTACCTCCAGAGGAGACACGGGTCGACCACAGACCCTCAACCCAGCTCTGGCTCGCTGTCTGCTTGGCAGGCTTCTCCAAACTACCACATGTTTTCCTCTGGTCTCCTCCTGAACTAGCACCTGCAAACTGCTGCCCCTCGTCTCTTTTTGCTAACCTTGAAATATGTCTGGCCAGCGAAAGCAATTTGCACTACGGACAACAGAGGAAAGGTAAGATCGCGTTCTTTCCTGCTGCTCCGGAATTCCAGAACACCTTCTCACTTTCCCACTGTTGTCCGTAGTGGATCCGTCCACCAACGGTTGATAAGCTGTTTAGTTTGATTCTGTTAGCAGGAACTGTATTTTACATCTACAGGACAGAGCGATAGCAGCCAAGAAATAGTCCTAACTGACATCATGTTCTGAAATTGTTCTGAGATTTAAAAAAAATGTTGAACTAGTCTAACTAGAGGGACGACAGTGGCATCAGGTGCAGGAGTTTACCCTGCACCGGCTCCGTCTATTTGTGTCGTTGTGTCCTTCGGAAAAACACTCCCCCTGCATTGCCTACTGATGGTGGTCAGAGGGCCAGGGTGGCGCCAGTGTACGGCAGCCATGCTTCTGTCAGTGAGCCCCAGAGCAGCTGTGGCTAAAATGTTTTTTTCCACCATCAGTTTGTGCATGAATGACTGAATGTAGTTTATTGCTTTGGTCAAAATCTCCTGACTTGAAAAAGTGCTATATAAGTACAGGACTTTTACCATTTAACAAAACAAATACATAGTTTTTCTACCCTTTGATTACTTAAGTCCCCATACCATACCGGAACTACTTTTTCTCCGTTACATTAAGGGCTATTTCTCATGGCAGGAAGCTCATTGACGGTGGGCCACTCTTGCATCTCAGCCACATATGGTGAATGTTTCACACAACTTCATGTCCCACAGCTCTCAAGTAGCGTAAAAATTAGCTGGATAAACCTAACTGAGTTTTTCATTCTTTTTATAGAGAACATGATATAGTTATTGAGTATGTGTTGTTATTTTACACATAAATGTCTGAAAGAACACATCTGTGATTACTTTATAGAACTCTAATCCAACAATAAAATTTTTCATAAATATATTCTAAGTTTTAGACTTTATTGCTGCGTGTTTGATACCTCGATGTGCAACCAAAGCCAAACAGCCCAGAAACGTGATGAAAATCATTTCCTGTAATCTGTTTTAATACAGTCAAAGTGTGAAAAAGCTTTCTGGCACAGTGAAAGTGTCGTAATTAGACTTTGATAATTAGAGACAGGGGATGGAGGGAGGTCCCAAAGTGATTATTATGGCAGAGTGAAAGCCAGAGAAACAGAAGGAGAGTGGGCTGAAGTTCACCACTAACTCTCACTCTGAAATAGGCGAGACCAAAAGCTCCAGGCAGAAAGAACAAGTTAGAGAAACTCAGAATCACAGTAGCTTTAAAAACCTCCCACCATTTAAACCATTTTTCTCTCAATAGATCCTTTGTCTGCCAGCCATTAAGATCATTTCTGTGTTTTGTTGTTGTTGCTCACCTGCAGTCCAGCTTCTCCATTTCAAAGTGTGGGTTGAAGTTAAGGACTATGCGCTGCGATGGCTCCGGGGCTGTGATGACCCAGTGGCAGTTCTGGTGAGGGGGATACTCCTGCGGGTAGCCAGGGGTGGTAATGTAGCCGGCATCGCTGGCATCTAAATAGCCACCGCATTGCTCAGATGCTGGGTAAAGAAAAACAGATAATGGTCGAGACATGAGTGACACTGGGAATAATAAATGAAGTAACTTTTTTATTTATTCTGTGTTATTTAGAGATCTTTATTTAAGTGCCAATGCTGTTGGTTTGTTGAAAATCAACACAGGAAATTACAAAATCACACAATTATAATCAGAAATGCAGGCAGGATATGAGAAACTTAACAACCTGATAAACAAAGGCATAGTTGTGGAGAAAGATGACTCACAAACTTAATATCTTACACACTCAGCCTTCCAGAAGCCCCAGTTACTGTCACAGAGCGGATTCACTTGTCAGCAGTCATATGTCTGTCTCATGTCATAAACAATGCCACTTATTCACTGGTGCAGATGCAGTCTGACACAGATGGACAGCACTTCCACGTCTGTTTAACCCAGCAGCATAACACATGCAACTGTTCTACCATAACAGTGGCTACTCTTTTAAACTGATGGAATTAACTCTCAACGCTGGACTCCTATACTGTCCAGGAACTTAAATGTTGTTCTGTGATGGTGGATTTATGGTATTTATTTACCTTACTTTTCACAATCTGCGGATTGATCATGAGTGAATATTTAACTTTTTTTTAATTGTTTTTTTAAAGGATGATTAAAGCTTTTTAGGAGACTTTTCTTGCTTTTCTTTTTCTGATTTCATGTTCAGTCCTTCCTCTAGTTCCATGAAATATAATACATACCTCTTAACATTTTTTCATCTGTCATATTACAACTAATCTTTTCCCGGCAACTATGCTAACAACTTTGAACAGTACCCATGTTCCCATGGAAAAAAAAATTCTCCACAGCATGATACTACCACTACTGTATCTCAGCATGGAGATGGGTTAATCAAGTTGATCTTTATTTATGATCTAATTTTACTGAAGCATCTTCTTCTATATTTTTGATACGTCTCCTACATTGATTAAAAAAAATGCAAACAGCATTTTGGTTTATTTCACTTCTTCAGTGAATTTCTTTTAGCCTCTCCTCCATAAAAGGAAGCTTTATGGGATGCATAAGTAGTATCTATCCTTTCAAAAGATTTCCCCACCTGAGCTGTGGAATATGTCATCTCCTTTTGATCTAGAATGGCTGTTTTTCTGATTAAAGCTCTCCTGCTTTATGAGGGACAGCCATGTTCAGATGGGCTTTAAAATATTTACATACATTATCCAATGACCTACACTGCAAAAACGATCTAGAAATAAGTAAAAATGACATAAATTAAGTGTATTTACCTTTAATTTCAGTAGGATAATAAGATGATCTGCCAATGGAATGAAGATTTTTATACGACAATGTAATTATTTTTTTCTTATTTTAAATGTAAATTGTCTTGTTTCATTGGTAAAGAGTCTAACTTACGTCCTCAGTTCAAGCAAAAATGCACTTATTTTAAGAAAGTATTAGTTATTTAGGTTAACATTTTCTTCAGTGTAGCTCTGCTTTAAAATTCTTCTCAACTTTATCCCTGACTTGTCTGCTGTGCTCCTTAGTCTCTTAATGATGTTATTTGGCCATTCATGTTCCCTTACAAAACTCTGAGACCTTCAGCCTTCAACAGATAGATTTATAGTGATCAGGTTTTCTCAATTTACTAATTAAGTAAGTTCTAAATGCAGTTGGCTGCATGAGATTTTATTTATTGTAGGTTAAATGAAGAGAAAGAAAAAAGTGAAAGTCATGAAACTTTTACAATTTTCATAAAACTTCACATTCAGGCTACTTTGTATTGTTTTGTCACATATGGTAGCAGCATATTTGCTAAAATAATCTAATAAATGACATACAAATAGGCATTAAAAGCAGCCAGATAACCAATGAAAAACTAAGAAATGTTTAGAAAAAATGAAAATATCAAAACCTAAGGAAATATTAAAATAAAAAAGAGGAAATAGTGGACTAAATTCTATACAGATTAAGTTTACAGTGACATATTTTTTTAATCAAATGTCAAAATTAAAGTCACATTAAAAGCTGTGTTGTTATCCCAAGAACTGTGTAAATTAGTACACAACTATAGTTGTATGACCAGTGTTACAGCAAAGAAGGAAAAGAAAAGCCTCTTTTTACTGCAATTGTTAAAAGACAAAAAAAAAAGGTGGCATTATTTCAACAGTAACAACTAAATAAAAAAAATCATCAGTGTATCTGCAAATAAACAGATGGATTTTCAGTAAATATTTTGGGGAAACGATGGCCACGATGGACCAGGTTATTTAAATGAAAACAGCATCTGCGAATGCTGGCTGATTGATGGGAAAATACTTGGCTGGTATGCAACACCCTAAAATAATTTCCTGTTTTCCAGAGAAAGGGAGAACAAACTCACAATTGGACTCCTGACAGAGTTCATTATTTACTCAGCCATGGCTAAATACGCATCACGAGACATGCCTCCAGGAGAAATGTAGAAGAGAGCGGAGTCTTTCTGAGGAGGTTGTTCAAACCACCATCAGGCCTTCTGTGCTATGACGTTTTATTTATTACAGGCTGTGAGAGCTGACATAGTCAAGCCAAACTGCTCAGCAGAATACAACATGGTTTAAAGCTATTAATAAACTAGCTACTGTAAACCAACTCTGAGAAGACTAGAGATATGAACACATAAGGCACAGTATAAACACACAGACCACCTCCTTTACGTTTAAATGATGCAGTTATAATTAATAACAAATAGTTATTTAATTAAGTCTGATCGAATTAATGCAATACAAAAAGGGGCAAACTTATTATCTGATACCATTTAAGCCTGAAGCCAGGGAAGTTTAGAGAAAAGATCAGATTTCAGTGTTCAGCAAACAACATGACTGACATTTTGGCTTTTATACCTGCTGTCTGCCTCTCTCTGTCTGCTTACAATTAATGATCAGCAGCCTGCTTCTCCCTAATTCCCCCTCCGTCACCCTAAGATCCAACTAATCCTGTCCATCTCCTATCTGTTTCCAATCTCCCTGGTGACACACAGAAATACAGGAGTGGAGTTACAAGGGCCGTGTAACCTAGCCGTACGCATTTTATGTCAGCACCACCTGGATTAGTGTTTAACCACTCCAGAATCTGACAGCAGCACCAACCAAACACCAGTAATAGAATCCCTTCTTAGCAGGGTCTATCAAATAAAAATCTGCAGAAAATGTCAGGTAAAAGATATAAAGGCACAAACTTATATTTAGTTTATAATATATTTGATTGCAAAGCTGTGTTCAGTTAAGTGTGGTTGGTTTATTTTGTCACAAATTAAGTTACATGTTGACTGTTATTAAGCTTGTCTTATAATACTAACTTAATTTAAAAATATTGGCAATAAACCAGATTAAAGTGGTTTTAATTTTATTGAATAACAATATATTTTTACTGCTGGAATGTTGCAAAAATGAGAACTATCTTGATAAGAAGCAATGCTGAGAAACTTGTTCATGCATTTGTTACTTAAATAATCGACCATAGTAAATCCACAGGTTTGCTAGTGGTTTCTAGTAGTGTTATATTGAAGACCAAACCAACTGAGACCAAGTAGTATTGAGACAAGGCCAATGCAATGTAAGGACTTGTTCAGAGCATCTAAGGGTATATCTTGTCTCGGTCTCAGTTTGGTCTTTAATACAACACTAGTTACTAGTCAGATCTTTTTGTAACTAGGCTCCTCCCTTGTGGAGACAACTACCAGTTTTAGTTTGTGAGGCAAACACCCTGTCTACTTTTCAGGCTTGGCTTAAAACTCTTCTTTTTGATAAAGCTTATAGTTAGAATGACTTAGGTTGACCTGAGCTATCGCTATAGCTATGCTGCTATAGCATTAGACTACTGGAGGACATGGTGACCACTTTTCATCATTGTGCTGAAACCTTGAATTTAACCAACTGAAACTGATTATAATTAACTTTAAAGAAATATCAAAACTATATATTTGTAATTCAAGGCTTCAATAAAAAAAATTTGCTGTATATTTAATAAAAAAAAACGTGTCAGCTGTCATTGTGGCTTTTTATTTATATGTAGATACATGATGATGTATGTCTTTGTGTGTCTAAATTGTTAATGTATGTACCAAAAACTAACATCAAATATTTTTCTTTCATTTAACATAATAACTCATACCTGAGTAAGACAGCATAGACAAAAGTTAATTGGAAAAAAAAAATCTTAACTTCCATTTTACTTGTAATGTTTATTAAAAAAAATAAAAACAACTAACAAAACTCATTGAGAGCTTAACCGGGAGATAAGAACCTGAGATCAGAGTGATCTCAGGTCAGTGTGTCAAGCGATAAATCTTTTATTTATCCTATCATAAAAAGTAGTCGCTATGGGCAGGTCTTTAAAATATACCCTGACTATTTATTTTTTTCCTAAAGCTAACTTCGATCTGCAACCACCAGTCTATTTGACAGAGAATTAGAGTCGAAAGCACTGTAAAAATACAAGCACAAAAGCCTAACTGAACAGCCCAGAGCCGTTCTCTACTTATGTTGTGAAGGAACCATAATGTTGAAAACATTATGGTTCCTTCTGAACTCCCATCTCTCTCCTTCAGCCTCGAGTAAAGACAGTCTCTCCTGGAGTCTGAATCACATGGATCTGTTTGAATTAAACATTGTGTCTGTTTCTCTGCAGAGCTCTACCAATCCCAAGATATCCACACAAAGTCATTCAACAATTATGGCATCCAAAAACGGCAACGAGTGACACAAACTGAGCTCAAGGGTTCACAGCTGACATCATCTTGCATTAGATATCATTTAAAGTAGATCGGATTGTACTTGTTCATCTGCCAAAGTAATCATTCAGATATATGCACGTTGAAATTCAGTAAAATGTCAAGTCTCTCAAGGTATAAGGCAACAATATATATAAACATGAAGCGGGAGGACTAGGAACTGTTTGTAAATAAACAAAAGGAAGATTAATTTCCATAGAAATGCTCAATAAACTTTATGGGGTATTGCTGTGAGTGACCAACACAAGGTTGTAGACCTAACAGCTCTCCTGAGACTTATTGACTTTGTGCCCCAAAAACCAGAATT